AAAAAAAAAAAAAAAAAATACTCGCGAAGCTTTCAAAACATTCATTACTCATAGCTTCAAGATATAATCGAAATTTCTTGACCAATTATTCAAAATGTTAATGTAATATTATATAATACTTTCAGTTAAAAAACATTTGTTTTGATGCCTGTGCGTGAAGATACTTTTATTAGGCGGAAACTGTAGCAATATCGAGAAAAATGAAGTAGTAGAAAATGTACATTCTCTACCTTATAGAATTTTCACTAGGACGATTAATTAATTTTATTTCTTCTGTACTAAAGCTTTATTAAAAAAGCATCCTAGCGCACAGTATCAAAATAGAAGAATATGATAGCACCGTCAAAAGATATAAAAAAGGACACGCAAGCAAAAAAAATACTAGACTAAAGTAGCTGAAAGAGCTAAAAAGTCATGAGAAAAAAAGTGGGATGTACAAATGGAAAAGGAAAAAACAGTTAATGATGATGATTGTGATGGCAGGATAATAGCTGAGCCGATCGAATGACTTGAAGAGTTGGCCATCAGCTGGAAAAAAGTCTCGTAAAATTTATCTTGTTGCATTAGCCTTACGCGGAACGCCTCGAGTCTCCGTATCCACCGCGGGAGTCACCATAGCGCCACTGATCGCTACCACGGGGCGTGCCTCTAGCTCTCTCAACGGTTATTCTGTAACACGGAAAAAAACGGCAAAGGCCAAATTGGTAATGCTTACTTGTCTCTCCAGGAGCGTGAGCGCCCGTTGCCACGGTCGCCGCGCCTCCCTACACCCAGCGCTATCTCGACCGCCACTCTGAAACACACCCAACAAAAATACCCCACACTAAGTTCAAAGAGGACACTGCTCGCATTCGGCACTTTAAGCTCTCTCTCTTTTTTTCTTTTCTCAATAGACGATAATTTATTATATTACTTCGATCAATCGACTCTTCCAACGTTAATTTTTTGCAATTTTCAATGTCAAATTTTTAATTTCGATTTTGTCACTCAAGATCGGTTTTTTATTCCAAATATTACTGCCGATTGCACGAATTTTTCAATACACTTGGCACTGTACACGAAAATTAGTTATGATATGCATAACGTGAAGTGCAGTGGTTTAAAAAAAGTATATTTTGAAACTAGGTTACAATACTTTATGAAGAATTAGTAACTTCTTTAAACTTTTAGTTACAAATGCTTTCAATTTGTCTTTTTTTCAAATGCAAAAAACTTTTTTAACACAAAATCACATTATGTATTTAAAACATCAAAACCAATTGTTTTGTGAAAGATGATGATTCTTTGCAGATTTATTGTATCAATATTTTTTTCAAAACTTACGAGATAAACTTGATAAATCAAGTGGTTACATTATTAATACACTGAAATCAAGTTCACCGATTTAAAGATACATCCAGACAAGAAAAAAAGATATACTAAAGACATTTTTTTTTGTATTTTATTTTAAAAAATATCAAAAAATTAGTGTATGAGTATACTAAGCATGTTTTGACAATTATTAATAAAAATAATAATAAAAAAAGACAAATGAAAAATTTTGTGACACCAGTTTTTTCGCTGATAAAAAAGTTTAAGTTGTGAGAACTTTTATCAAAAATTGTTTTTGATATTTTGTTGTAGGGTGTGTTAAGAAAAAAATATTTTCAGAAGAGATATTTGATGGGAGTAGTTCAAAATGGCGGTAAGTCACACTGGACTGGTCCTTGAGATATTTTTATGTTTTTCTTATTAGATATTCGATAAATAGCTCTTTAAATTTTACAGGGTGTTGACGGATTTTTTTTTCTATTAACTAAACAATCAAACAACATCACACAATTATAATATTGTAAAAATAGTACCAAAATTTTGTTAATTAACTACATCAAAGCAATAACCAGTTGTTTACGAATAATTATAATTACTTTTAATTAATAGCAAACCATGCACACACAAACGAGTTAGTTATAATATTAACGGTAATAACGTTTTTAACATAACATCAGCATTTATAAAGCACCAAAGAAAAGTTTTAATTTGCATAGCACCAAAATCATGCATTATTGTGAACTACATCTATGTTGAGTGATTTAGACAGATATTTTATCAGTAATAGATAAATAAATCAAGGAAATCAGAAAAAAGTTTTTAGTTGTATATGTGCACGGGAAAATGTAAAGGTAAAAACCATAAAAAGGCTTTTAGTTATAATTTATGGAAATTATGGAAGACGAAAAAAAAATTAATTTGACATGCAACTGATGTAACAAACATATTTTGAAAGTTAAATTTGAGATGATAGTGGTCTTCCTTTTTTTTGTTTCTCTAGTTCAATAAGAATATTTAATTCAATCGTCAAAATTTCGTTGCTTTCGAGATTAACGATTTTAAAACATTTTAAATGAAATAGTTAATTGTGTAGTATTATTTAGTTTTTACAATTAATCATGCTTAAAGAATCATCCCAGTCACCAAAAATTTGGGGAATATACAACGACAAAAGTTTTTTTATTTACCTTTCTCCCAGGAGTTCCTTGCCATTTAGCTCATAAACGGCATCGTCAGCATCTCTGTAGTCATCAAATTCCTGATAAGAAAAAAAAAAGGTTTCATTAATTAAAACGTATTTTTACCAACAAGTTATAAATTAAAATTCTTATGAACTATTATCTTATTAGATTACTTGATTATTAATTAAGGAAAAATAATTTCCCAAATTACTTGCTCAATCCAGTTGATTCAACTTTGGAGTGAATAGGAATAATATGATTTTTGAGCGATTTACATCATAATATGTTTGAAAATATGATTTCATACAATGGATTGAGCAAGTTTAGCTTAAAAATAAATAGTTTTAAAAAAAATTTAAGCCTGTGATGACTGTGCAAAATAAAAAATATTGAAAGAAAAAAATTAGGAGTATCAGTCCGATCTTGAGAGGAGATGTACAGGCTCAACATTATTCACATCGTCATAACAGGTAAGGCTGTAAAAATATAGGCGAGTCCTTCAGACCTGTAGAACTTTAAAAAAAAAAAATTTCAATCATGATATTAAACGACTGGCTTTCAAACAAAGAATCAATTTATTCAAGTAAGCAGGGTCAAGGGGTATTTCAGGCCGTCGGTATTGTGCTTCATATTGCATTCAGCAGAGTAAAAAAATTATAAACAAATGTATTGTACACAGAGAACATCATTAAAGCGACAACTAAACAATTATTATTTATTAACTTCAATGTTAGTACAACTGTACTTACCAAAATCATTAAGACACCTTATTAGGTTCATAAATTTTGGCAAGTATCTTAAGTAAGAATTTTCATTACAAATGTTGCATTTTAATTTCATGCTCGAGCAATTGAAAGTTAATAATTTGCATACAGTGGTAACATTAATAATACTCATAAGTGTACATTTGATAGAGGCACATACATGTAAGCCTTAATGCCGGTTGCATTAAGGGTTTAAAATATATATCATCCCGTTTGTTTATTAAAATCAAACAAAGCAAATAAAAATTTTCATGTATTCGTTTGTATTAATTTTTTTTTTGTTTCCTTATAGAAAGAGAACCATCGTTCATTCATGTGCTTGTTTGTTTAGCAAAACAGCTCCGTCTTTAGTGACAATACTTACGACAAAGCCATAGCCATTCTTGATGAGGACATCACGGAACCGACCGTAGCCTCTGAAAAATCTCTCAAGGTCTCTTTCCCTGGTGCCATATGGAAGCCCACCGACATAGACCCTTGTCCCTACCATACTGTAAAAAGAAACAATTTATTTACATTAGACTTACCACAAAGGCAAATCCACTCTTCATAGCGATTTCCCTGATTCTACCAAATTTCCGGAAGAACTTCTCTAGGTCGCGCTCTCGCACCCGGGTAGCTAATCCACCAACGAATACTCGGGTGTTCATTCTTAAAGGAAAATATAAAAAATACCATACATAACAGGCTTCCTTTGGAACCTGCCACTTTTTTTATGATTTGTGTTGTTTTTTTTTTTTCTTTCTTTTTTTTTCAAATATATTATGATCATTGTTTTCATTATTTACAGCAAATGAGATATAAAATAATGTGTATACTGCGCGATGGATGCTTTTTTTAAAAATACATTTCTTACTATACTTAATGAGTAAAGTATTCAATACTTCTTTGAAAAACATATTAAATTTGTTAGTCAACAAAATGGTAGAAATTGAGACGACAAAAACATATTAGCTGTAGTTGTATCAATGTTTCTTTGATTTTTATTTCAAGTGGCAGATGATGTGTATACAAAAAGAGCAAATACTGAAAAATGGACAAATCAACTGTGCATTGATACAATAAGTGTATTTATCACATGAAATTTTAGTGTACCAGTAGATGACTCGATTGAAAAATAATAATAACAAAAAAAAAAATTATTGGAATAAATGAATGAAAAGACCCGGATAGTCGTTTCCGCATTCCTCTTATTGCAGCTTAAACGTTTTCTCGTGAAAACAGATTTATCAACTCATGCAAAAATGTTCTTTCTAAATCCATAATTATGTATGTAACATTCAACGTGACGCGAGTATCGCAAAGATCTTCAACTCCTTGCGAAGAAAATCATAGATGGATCCATAGTATAAATTTCACAATTGCTTTTTATTTTAATTCTTAGTACCTAATCACCAATCAGCGAAATAAATAATCCATTTTCCCTTCACGATTTCAGAACGACAGGAGCGAGATTGTACAATGCACCAATAGACCTGCAGGCAAGCGTGTCTAATGAAAATTGAATAAATAAACGCACAAAAGTAAAAGTCACATACAGCGATACAGTTCGACGATCAAGTTGTTGAGAGGGGAGAAAAAAAAAAAAAAACATTGTATCTGGCTGCGCGGTACATGTATACTTACATAGATGTATAGGTATTACAACCGGGTGGATATCGAGAGCGGCAGAGGCAGATGAAAATGGCGGCGGTGCGGTGTACTTATAGGTTTGTTCAATTATCCACCTTGGAGCGCTCCGAGTGATCTATAAATGAACACGAGTTCTTTGTCAGAGAACTCGGAGGCCTCCGAGAGATATCCTTATACTATATAGGTATACTCACCGCTTGTAACTGATGTTTGTAAACAATGAGCAGTTAAAGTGAGTGTACCTATATAGTATATGGATATCTCGGAGGCCTCCGAGTGCTCCGACAAAGAACTCGTGTTCATTTATAGATCACTCGGAGGCCTCGGAGCGCTCCAAGGTGGATAATTGAACAAACCTATAGAAAGAAAAGAAAAGGAAAAAACTGACAAATTACGTAAATACGCGCGAGTATCGCAGAATCGATTGGTACAGTGACTGTTGTACCTGCGGAGAGGCTCCTTACGGAGGAAAGTCGATTGAAAAGAATAAATGAGAAAATTTGACCAACCTTTGTCCACACGGAGAAACCGAGTGCAACAGTCTGTTGACTGATAATGATACTTAAAACCGACGACCCCTTTTCCGCTCGGCTCCCCTTTTTAATGAACCAGCGCGATATGGGCTAGATTGTGTGTGGGAAGTCTTACACGGACATGCGAGATAAGGTAGATATTTCTCCCCTTTCGCATACCTATATTGTGTGTACCTTCCGATGTTATCTCTTATTGCGTGATTAAATATATATTTAAAGACGTGGCGTTTTCAAGTCGTTGAGGAAACAATTTTGCAAATTACCTTGTATGACGGAAATTGTTATTTTTTAGTCGTCCAAAACGCGTTACCTATTATGTTTATTAATCGAAGAAAAGTATTTTCAACTTTCCAGATCAGAATTTAAAGGTCTTTACCGGCAATGTTACATACATGATGTTGTTAAAAGAAAAATATGATCACACGGTGGTCCGGAAAAGGTCAGTTTATGGTGCTAAATGAAAGAAGAAAGGTTTTTCGTCGAATCAGACTGTCTGTTACCGACAAAATGACGATTAGCATTATCACCCAGAGGACTCTATACTTTTAAAATAAGAGAAAACAAAATGGATGCTGAAAATTAAATTCTTAGTGACCCTTTATTCACTTGGATATTTTGTTGTTTTTCCAAACATTGCATCACACATGTAATTAATCGCTTTGATAGAAAACATTATTTCTCATGATGAGGGTAAGTTTGTTGCTTATATGTACGATATTTATTTCTATGATAAAAGCAACCCGAACATGATTTGCAAGTAATTATTTTTTCGGTATCAATGACGTGATATGTTGTTTTAAACGAAAATATTGTTAACTAACGCGCAGCTATGGTACAGTTTTCCTGGTAACTCGATGCAAATACTATTTCCTTTGGACAAGAGGAAAAAAAAGAACTGTTACGTAACGCTGATACGAATGATACATGTAAGCACAAGGAAAATTAAATGGGCAAAATCAACAAACAATCCATACAACGACCCCACATGATTGAACGAACGACTATACCCTCGGCTCCGAATAATTTACAGCCCAAAATAAGACCGGCTGCAGTAAAAAAAAAGAGAGGCGTCCATTTCGGCCCGCATACATACACGCATATTGACATAAACATACGCGGCGTTTCCCTTCAGCGCTCAGCTTTCCAACTTTCCCTTGCACCCAGCTTTCCCTACGCCCCAAGACTGTTTGTATTCACATTCGCAGAAATTTGACCATTGCCTTATTTTTTTTATGGAGAAAGAAAAAAAAAAAAAAAAAAAAAAAAAGGATTAGAGCGCGCCAGAGAAACGGAGCAACGCCGCGAGAGAAAGAGATAGAGAAACGAACAAACATGTCGTCCTGCGAGACATAACACATCGACCGAGGACGCGCCAATTTTCTTACCGAAATAATCGTAACTCCAAGGTCAACGAGTAATCGCGCAATTTTCCTGCAGCCTCGATGTATGAGTTAATTAAGTAAAATGATGAAAAACAGCGTGGCTTAAGGAAAATTGAGCCACGTGAATAGTCACGCACGCACACAAACACACACGCAAGAGGAATGCGGTGCAGAGAAGCCGAGTAATTGGCTCCCCTCGGGCTAACCTCTCAATGATTATGTTTTGGCGGTGAAAAAAAAAAGAAATAAACAAATGAAATGGCTCGAGTGAACGTTTAAAACGTGAATATTAGTAACAAAAATAAGTGTAGCAGTGAGTAGCATCATCGGCATGTACGGCCTCAAAAGTACGTGTGCGTGTGTGTGGACACTCACCTGGATGGTTATGTTTGATGGGTTGTGTGTGTGAATACGTGCCAAGCGAAACTTGGCAGCGCGACGATACACGGCTACCTTCCTCCTTGACTTGGACAATCGGCTTCGTTGTTCGTTCTTGTTGTTTTGTCAGACAAACGTCGGCCGATTGTGTTGTTCAAATGATACAATTAAATAATTAATTAACGCGACTACGTTGCGTTTACGTGCGGCCTTCTTGGCTGCCCGTCGACGAATAACGATCGGCGTCTCCTTTCCACAAAATGGCGCTCGGCTCTGCCTATAGGGCCTAGCTCTCTTGTTTCGTACTTTTCGTCTTTCCGGTCGGTAATTGACGGTCGCGTGACTCGTGCCGTGACGGGTTACTTGACGTCAATAAACCACGATTCATTGCGCTCAAAAGAGCGGGTCTTTTGAAACTTATTTTGTTGTCCGTTCGATTTTTCGAGCACGTTTTTTTTTTTTTTTTTTATTTCTTGCTCAAATATGAAGATCATTTACCTCGATTGACAAGGTACGAGTAATTTGTCGTTTAATTCGAGTGTTTTACATTATTTTAGACAATTATATGTACTCTCTTGATATTGGGTTTGAAATTTTTACATATTTACTTCGAGTGAACTTTGACGCACTGAAATGTCGAAAAGTTTTCGTTCGTTGAACGTACACATACATTAGAATGGTAAATGAAGTAGATATAAGTATCAAGTACTTAAATGAACAATGTACATACAAAGTAGATGATAGATTTGCGAGATGAATACGGAGAGAGAGGAAAACTTTGATCGGAAGGCCCTTGGAGAATTGACGGTCAAAAGTGGTCTGTCAATTTTAAAGTTGACTTTTCGCGCACGTTGGCCGGAAATAGTGAGGCTTCGCGGGAGTCAATACAGAGAGACTATCGAGCTACACTTTTTTGGCTTCTCAGCGTCTAAAATGTTACATTGTTTTGTTTAATCAGGCGTATCGTTGGATCCGATAAATTGTCCATGAATTTTTGGACTCGGAAATTTTCACAAGATTCCTTCTCAGTCGTTGAAAACATCTGAATACGAATGTATCAAATCGCGTTAGGTTATGGATGGTGTAGCGCTTTGATTAGAAGCGCGAAACCGCGTATGAATTCAAAGTTTCGTGTACCCCTTGTATTTAATACAGGAATGTTTATAGTCTGACCGATTTAATGATAAATGGGTATTTTTATGGAAATGGGATGGAAAAATTTTTTATCAATTAAGGTTGGAAAACTGTTATTTTTTATTTAAAATTTATTTTTGTGTGGAAACAAAGTACTTTTATGTTATCTACATTTTAAATAGGTATTACAAGTTTTCGCCTTACATACTTACACCCTCAACTATATTAATTTGTATACATTAATATCATTTGCCTATTCAGATCACAATAAATCTATTAAGCTACCAGTTCTTTGCTAAAAATTAAATGATTGTAAGAGCGCAAGTTTACTATTAAATAAAATACACGTATGAGTAAATGTTAAAAAAACGTGATAATTAATTGATAAAAATCCATAAGGAAAAAATTGGGAAAAAAAATGTTGAAGATTGGCAATATGTAACTTCACCTGTTCAAAGTTATTTAGTGTAAAGGTTTGAACTAAAGTAAAAGTATTAGTATTACAAATATGTTGGAGACGTTGCGAGCAAAGCAGCTTTCGGGAGAAAACTTAAAAGTATGCTTTCGCGAAGAGATATAATAATTATAATAAATGAAACCGACTCATTCATACATTCCTCAGTAAGTAAGAGTAAATTATTCATTTAATATAAAATCAATTTACAGTATCAAACAAATCTACTAATGTATTACATTTATATACGTTTATAAAAATATTTTCACGAGTAAATACCTATGAATCTCTTTACCCTGGATACTATTATGTAAGAATTACTTGTAGACAATGGTATATACACGTACACTATTGCTACCACCTTTTTATTCCGATCGTTTTAAAGACACACATAATTTTCCTGCAGTATTATCGATCATTTGTAATGGTATGTACGGACAAACACAAATCATTCTAATCATACCACAACGTTACTCAATCCTTTCTGTGAATATTAATCGATTTTGCGTGGCTGCGGATTCCCTCAATCGTATATGCATATTGCGGCGATCGGAGTAAGTACACATACTCGTTCGCTTCAAGTAATGGTACTGATCTCAGGTATGTTTATGTTTTATTTTTATCTCTATGAAAAGAAAAAGACCGAGAGTGGACGAGACGGTGCTCTATTAAACCTTCGTAGCTGAGCCGAGATACGCGGTTTACATGATCCTCCACGATTAAAAGCGCAGTCATCCTCTCGATTCCTTCTCCTTTATATCTCACTCTCGAGATATCCAGGCAGTGAGATGGCCCTGCAGTGTCTCACTTGCATCTTACTGCTCAGCTCAGCGATTGGCACCTGTACCTGGCTCTACTTCTACTTCAAGCGTAAACTGAGGTACTTTGAAGATTGGGGCATCCCCAGCATACCCGGTTGGCCCATACTGGGCAACATGGGACCTATCATATTCCAGCGCAAGCAGTTCATCGACGTGGTCCGCGAAATGTACGACTTGAATCCAGAGGTGAGGTACGTGGGAGCCTTCGACTTTACCCAGCCGGTCGTGGTGCTGCGCGACCTCGAGCTCGTAAAGGCCGTCTCGATCAGGCACTTTGAGGACTTTCCAGACCACAAGCCCGTCTTCGACGAGAGCCTGGATCCCCTCCTCGGGGGCAACCTCTTCAATTTGACGAGCGCCAGTAAGTGGAAGGAGACCCGTGGTCTTCTGACCCCGGCATTTTCGGCCTCTCGTTTGAAACTCATGTACGAGCCGATGGCGAGCTGTGCCAGGAACCTCGTCGACTTTGTCGCCGCTGGAGATGGCAGTGATATGCCAATCGGATGCTCGACTCAAAGGAGCTCTTCACCAAGTACGCATTTGGGGTGACGGTCGACTCGCTCAGGGATCCGGACAACGAGTTCTACGCGTTCGGCAGAGAGAGGTGACGAGGCAGGATTACTCGACGATGCTCAAGTTTTTCCTGGCGAGATCGGTCCCGTGGATCTTGCAAGCCTTCGGCGTAAAGTTCGTCGGCAAGCGAGCTGCCAACTTTTTCGAGAACCTCGTGAGCACCACTGTCAGAGAACGGGACGAGCAGGGCATCCGACGACCTGACATGCTGCAGCTGATGATGGACGCGAGGGGTACCTGCAAGGAGTCGCAGCACCTGAAGCTCGACCTCACGACGATGACAGCCCAGGCGTTTGTCTTGTTCTTTGGCGGCTTTGATGCGACCTCGACCCAGATGTGCATCATAGCCCACGAGCTTGCCATATCAATCCTGACATCCAAAAGAGACTGCAAGAAGAAATCGACGAGGTTATTGTTTTACATCATAATAGCAATGGACCCATCGGTTACGAGGCGATCAAGGACATGGCTTACCTCGACGCGGTTCTCAACGAGTCCCTGAGGAGGCAGTCGTTCGGTGGCTTTCTGGATAGGGTGTGCGTGAAGGCCTTCGAGTTACCGCCGACCTTACCGGGGGCCAAACCATACATCGTAAGACCCGGGACGAGCGTTTGGATACCGGCGCCTGCGATTCACCGCGACCCACGCTACTACGAGGATCTGGAGAAATTTGACCCCGAGAGGTATTACCGGAAGAAGGTGACCATCAAGCGACCATGGCCCAGGGCATGCATTGGACACCGCTTCGCCAGGATGGAGATCAAGGTTTTGTTCTTCTTTCTCCTCGTCGAGTTCAGCTTCGAGGCCAACGAGAGGACCTGCAAGCCCTTCGTCTACAGCAAGCGCAGTTTCATCACGAGACCCGAGGGTGGCTTTTGGCTGTCCATCGTACCGAGATGAAGGCTCTTTTTTTTTTTTTTTTTTTTTTTTTCTTGCGGTTTTTAGAGATAGAGAGCCATGAGTATGTATGTAATTGATTGACAGGCCTTGCTGTAACCTGATGAGTACAAATAAAAAGAGTATGCATGTACATGTGTGAAAATTAATAATGCAGTTTTATTGCGTTCAAAAACCAATTAAGTTCATATAAAGTTCGCTACTTTTGAAGCTCAAAAAGCTTTTGCGCCAAGGTTTCCTCCTCCTGATCCACCCACACCCCCTCATGGCCCTCACCTCCTGATGCTTTTACTCCCACTCTTGCGCATATGTTGCGCAGTACTATGGAACACATGCACGCGCAGCAATCAGCCAGCGTGTGTGCCCACTGCCCAGGGATCGGATCAGCTGGGCTGGTGTGCTTTAGATCCAATGTTGTGTGTATATATAGGTATACATATACACGCACTGCAAGTGCCAGATCAGAAACAGAAAGGCAGTCTGTCGTTGTCGCGCGTCGCAAAAGCAACGTCGTAAGTCGTAAGTATAATATAATCCTTTCGTGCTTGTGAAATCATATGATTCCTACGTTCATGAACCGATTATTGATATCAGAGTGCAATTACAAGTGACCTGTTGCAAAAAAAAAAAGAAAGCAAGCAAAACAAGGGTTAAACAAAACGATACGCAAGTGACGCGAAGTAAACGTTTCGTTCGTTCGTTCGCAACGACAGAGTGTGTGTGTGCACACGCGAGTAACATATAGATATTTGGTTCAACAGCAGAGCAGAGAGCAGCAACTATTCCATACGAACGAGCATCTTCATCATGGCCATATGAGGAGGTGGACGAGGAAACATTGGCGTTGACGTGCAGCAGAGAACAGCTGAAGAAAAAAAAGGGTCGAGTCTTGAAGGGAAAGGAAAAGGCAGTCCCGAAGATGTCGGACATCAAGAGCCTCGAGCATCCCACGCTTAAAGTACTTATAAACAATCTTTTCCTTTGTCTCTCTGCAAAGCATATCCTAGTGTATTATATATTGCCCTGCTCTATCTCTCCCTCCCCCTTGTGTTTTTGATATTCGTGAATGAGAGATATTTGTGGGATCTTTTTGATTATTCCTTTTTTTCTATTAATCTACCTTATACTCTCTTATGAATCTCTTATGATTGCTTTCATTTTTTTTTTTCAATTTTCACAGAATGTAGGATTTTTTAATTTTGGAGTCTGTTATTGTTGAATTAAAATTTCCTTTCTATTTTAGAGCAACGAGATTGTTTTAGAGCTTTTGAGATAATTACGACAGTTTTATCTTACATGATAGATTAGATAGTCGTACAACGCATGAAGTTGATTATTTATGGAAGTATTCATAAACTTTACTTTTACGTTTTCTCCTCATAGTGATTTTTGCAATAACTTGTAACATAAATTGTTTTTCAATTTAGCAGTTGATTAATTTCTAATATTCTTGTTGGATGACAAAGTCTTTTTTGATGCATTGTTCGATTTCTCTATTTATTGCTCGTAAAATCACCAGTTATTTTCCTGAAAAATAATCGAATTGGCTAATTACATTCAAAAGTACACATATTTTTACAGCAAAAAAATATATTTACAAAGTTTATTCTTTAAATTTTGTTTCTACCAGTTGTGCAATAAAATTAAAAAATTAACTCATTTCAATGATCATTTGTAATTAAAAAATATATCTAAACATACCGAGCGTGAATAAAAAAAATTTTGTTTCATTTCAATTCATATATTTCTTTTTCTATGATACAGGTGCCATACGAACTGTTGAACAAAAAATTTCGTTCAGCACAAAAAACACTGGACAGAGAGGTATCACACGTCCAAACAGCGACCAATGAGTTTGAAAAATCATGCCTGAAGGACAGTGGCAAAGGTGTTCCCACGAGTGAAATAACTCGCATGCTGGGTGGTGTAGTAGCCAAGCTGCAGGTTCTCAAAAGGAAAGCTCAGGAATCCATAGCTGAAGAGCTGCAGGCTGGTATGGTGTGCAAAAGAAGATTGGACCATCTCAAAGAGCATGCCAACACAACCCCCAGCGTAGTTAATCAATGGAGAAAGCAGAGACTCGACAGAATGCTCGTTGAATACTTTCTGCGCAAAGGCTACTACAAAACTGCCATAAAATTGGCTGATTCTGGTGATCTCAGAGATTTGACAAATATAGGTGTGGCTTTCCTTCCATTACCACGCAGAGTCAACTAAAATCATAATTCAATTATACTCATGAGCCTGTATCGTTTTCCACAGACGTATTTATGATATCACGAGAGGTTGAGAAATCGTTAGCGAATCACGAAACTGCCCGCTGTCTCAGCTGGTGTCACGACAACCGATCGAAGCTCCGGAAACTCGGCAGCACTATGGAATTCAACTTGCGCGTCCAGGAATTTATCGAGCTCGTTCGCTCAGATCGTCGCCTCGACGCTGTCAAGCATGCCCGTAAATGCTTTGCCAACTACGAGGAGTATCAGTTACAGGAGATACAGGCTTGCATGGGCCAGCTGGCGTTCCCGGCTGATCCTCATCACAGCCCCTACAAGGATTTGTTAGACGAGAAACGGTATGTGTTTAATTGAAATATTAATTAGTTGGGAGCAATTTTTCTTCCCCACTCTGTTTTTAAAATAGTTGGAGCAAGGAGCAAAAAAAAAAAAAAAAAATTTCTTACAGGTGGGACAGATTAATAGAGCAGTTCCGCCACGAGAATTATCGACTGTTTCAGCTGGCTAGTCAAAGTGTATTCACAGTAGCGTTACAAGCCGGCTTGTCAGCTCTCAAGACACCCCAGTGTTACAGCGCAAATAGGGAAGGAAAGAATCCCAGCTGTCCAGTGTGCAACGAGACTCTCAACGAGCTTGCCACTCCGCTACCCTTTGCTCATTGCTCGCAGTCGCGGCTCGTTTGCAGCATCAGCGGTAAAGCGCTCAATGAATACAACCAGCCGATGATGATGCCGAACGGCTATGTTTATGGTGAAAAGGTATGATGCTGTTGCGTTGAGATACATGTATTTTGAAGTGAGATGCGAGTTTGAATTTAATTCGAAAAAAATGGTTTTTCAGGCTCTGGAGAAAATGGCACAGGAAAACAATGGCTCTGTGATTTGTCCAAAGACCAAAGAAGTATTTTCGTTTAAGAAAATTGAAAAAGTTTACGTCATGTAAGCCCCGTATCTCCTGTTCACTGCAGCACAAGTTGTAACATACACACCTTAGATTTAATCCGCTCTTATCTTACATTAGTGTAGGGAATTTTTTTTTTTATTATTAAATTATTAGAGCATATTTAATTATTACCTACTTGTAAACTTAATTGTAAAAATTACCTCGTAAAAATAAAATATATTTTCCAAAAAAAGCAAAAAGGTTGGTTTTACTGGACAAAAAAAGAACGCCTGTTGAGATTTGATCCTTACATCATTTATTCAACGACTTTATCTATTTAATAGGATGGAAATAGCGTAAATTACATATAAAATGTGTTAACGCACGCTTAAAATTGGACACTTGTCTATGCTGCACGTATTTCAATCGTAATAGATGAATCTTTATTGAAATTTGATAACAAACACCTTAACTTCTAAAAATTATTAAAAAAAAAAAAAACAAAGTCTTTTTCAGAAAGCTGCAGTTTCCTTGAATTTTGCAGTGAAACACAATTTGCTGGCTCTTTGGTGATATGATGCAAAAATAAATTGTTTAAAGACAGCAAAAAATCATTATTTATCAAGTCAAGAACCTTCTTGATCACCGAATTGATGTATAAAAATACAATTTTATTTCTATGTTTTTATTTTCAGAATTTATTGTCTGCATTGCTTATTAAAAAGGATTGTCCATCTACAAAATGATGAGCTAATTCTACAGCTTCTAATGCAGTATCGCTAAAAAAAATTTGTCTTGTGTATTTTAAAATTACAATGACATTATTAATAAACCTTCGTCTTTTGTATATAATACATACAAAGGCAAAAAATTGTATACATAGTATTGTTTTTAAGTATGAGAAACTAAAAAAGTATCTCAATTCTTAAAAATTAAATTTTTTTTTTTATTGAATACTCATTAAGAAAACAAAAGCTATCTTACAAAATGAGTAATTGATTTTTTCTCTTCCAGCTTTTCGTCATTGAGTGATGATAGAGTTGGGAATAAATTTGCATGCTTAGTTTAAAGAGTTAAATGTAAATGTTTACTAAAATTTTTTGATTATTCTCTAGTCGTTAGTTGGAATATGGTATAAAATGTGATTTTTCAAACAAGCATAAAAAAAAGATGATTGAAAAATCAAAGCAAAATTATCGAGATAAAAAAGAACACTAAAACTACAACAATGAAAAATCTAGTGGAAACAGAAATAAATTTCTTAAAAAAAACAGAAAAAAGTTTTTACATGATTGTCAAAGAGAAGCTTGTGTATAAATATAAGAATATACTTATATAAAACTTTTTCAAATATTAAAATGAAAAGTGTAAAAGTTTAAGTAACAATCAAAGTGCTAAAAATTTTGTTTATGTCATATATAGTTGTACTGAATGTTACAACTCGTAACATGTACCGCAAATCGTTAAAAAAATAATAATCATGTATAAAGATAAAAACGACAGTATAAAAACGGTATTACAATAATCTCGTAATAAAATTGTCTGCTATGCTTAACGGAATAAGCGTCAAGTCTATGGCAGCGATGTATTTGCGGTATTTTCAGTTAAATTTCTTTTTTTCTTCGATTAATTACAAAATTCAAAATTTGACTGACAATTTACCAAATCTTTACATTTGCATTATAATGTACATGTGCTCACCAAGCGGCTATAGTTTGATTTTTATTTAAAATAACAATGCTGGTTTTTTTTTTATTTATTACATTTATAAGGCTTTTTGGTCCAGCTGCTTCAGTATTCATCGAGTAAAAGCTTTTTTCTTTAACCCTACGCAATTAAAACTCTATAATGGGTAACAGAAAAATTTAACCCAATAAGTTTTTTTTTTTTTTCATACAAAGTCCAGTATATTTAAAATAGTAAAAAATCATCAACTATTTCATAAAGATCTCAATTTACATCGCACGTAATACCTTATTCAAAAGCGTAATAAAATAATTATTAGTAATTCTGTTAAGCGTTTTTGCTCCATAATAAAAAAAAAAAAAAAAACATCTGCACAAATAACTGCTCAGACTTTCAATTTTTAATTTTCCTTATTACATACGCTTGCCGTTACATAAGAATATGTAAAAATCGATAAGACTCTAGACTCTCAGAATTATCTCACGCATACCGTCATTCAACAATTTTACTATATCTTCAACAAATGGTACTGATCTACGATGCAATCTCCAATTATCTCAGTTTATCTCGGTGCTAGTATTTCAAAAAGCTTTAAAAAATAACGACAATATAATGAGAACGACTTTTGTCGATCTTTTTTTTTTCTCTTTCTACTTCGAAGCTCGACATTTTAAGGAGGCCACGCGAAGAAACCAGACTGACTTTGATATCGCATCACAGCGACGTCCTTTTTTATTTTTACCTTATCATTTTTCTCTTCCGTGGAACAGCTCTCGTGCGGTCGTTTTGTTTTTGAGCTCCTTGAGATTTGTTGCTGTTACCCTGCCTGTTGCGTGCTACATTGTGATTTAACCAAACGTCTTAACGATGATGGGCATCACATAGGAAAACAGGATGCCCGAAAAGACGCCCGTTATCAGGAAGGCCGCACCGAACATACCAGCTGTCGATGCGTACTGAGGCTCCACGGAACTAAAACGGAAAAATGTTTAATAATTCAGCGATTCAACCTTTGAGGGTGACGTTTTAAATTAAAAATCGCTTTTGTACCTGGAGCAATACATCATAGAAATGGACGAAAAGTAACCGCTGGTTATTCCCATCGCCACAGCAATGGCGAAGAACATCCAATCGTCATCGATTAAAATGTAATGACGTTGGCTCGCTGTCACATCCTTGGGTAGGTAGTTGCAAACCAAAAATAGCGGTATGAACAAAGCACGAAGTAAAATTGGTAAGATGACAAACTTCTTACTGGGCTAAAAACAAAAGAATCAGTTTATTATTATACACACCCTCGAATTAAAATTTGAAAAGCGATAACGATAAAAGTTTCGCAACATACCCATTGGAACAGTGAAGCCAAGTAGCTACCCAACATGGCAGTGACGTTAAATGTCATGAAACACATGAGAGTTGGGTAGTAATCTTCGTGTACAATAAAGTCCGGATTCGATTTTCGGATATCGGATTGCACAGCCGGAAAAATAGAGAGGGTGACAAAGAAGACGAACCATACATTGAAGCATTGAAGGGCACATTGTTTGAATACCTTCCAGAGTGGAGGCCTATTTGACGAGTACTCTGATTTCTTCTTTGACTCTTTCTCGTATAGGTACTGATGATAACGATAGAATCGCTAAAAAAGAAAGTTAAGCTCAATTTGTGATTGACAAAATTTTTAAATATGGTAACGTGAAAGCAACTTACATTGATCGGAAGAGCAAAATATGTATCAAAACAGGCTAGCAGTACGAAAAGCGCTGTTATGAAGTAATATATGGCCGAAGTTCGCGGGTTTGGCGCAAAGTATTGTGCCAATAAACTAACAACAGATGTAAAAGTTCCACTAATATTCTAAAAGCATAAATATGATTAGTTGGATTCGAAACAATTTGATCGATTAGTTAATTCGATCTGCAGGACAATCCATTACTTACAGAGCCCAGAACTACAGCTCCAGTATATTTTCCTGGAAGTTTCGCGGCCATTCCGAATACTGAATTCTGATAAATTCCATTGGCAGCTTAACACAAGTAAAAACATATTATAATGATTGTGCCAACTAATGACTCGGATAATGGTGTGATCTTTACGTACTGTTAAGGATAACGATGGAGACCATTGTGAGCCAGAAAAATACCCCAGGCCAAGTTGATGAATCCATCATGGCCATTGCGACGGTGAAAATAAATATGAGTACTTGCATGAAAATACCCCACACAATACGCGTCGTCAGATCACCCCTGAAATGGTAAAATTATTATTACTTACTATTAAACTACTAATGTAAATTTTTAAGTGAAAAATTACCCTAGAGTGACGAATATATTCAGCCAATTGAATATCACATTGGGAATTTGCGCACCAAGTCCCAGGGACGATAGGAAATTGTTGGCATAAGTCGAGTTGACGTGTGTGTAATTTTCCGACAGCTTGTACTCGACGAAGTACTGAAAAAAAAAAAAAAAAAGAAAAAAATCCTTAATACCAAGTACGTAGCTGTAAAAAATGTTTAACGTAAAAATAAAATACGCACGCTTTTTGCAGTGATGAACATATTCCACGGCATCAAGGCGCCAATGCCGTGCAACAGCATAATGAACAGTATAATGTTAAGCCTAGGAAAACAAAAATTACGAATTAGCGCATGTTGAAAAAAAAAAAAAAAAAAAATATGCGTGACACTTGAAATAATCGAAAACTAATGAGGTGTCGAGCATGTACCTGTCCTTGGGAGGATTAAGCTCGAGATCGGCTTGGTCCATCGTTACGCCTTTGAAGTTCAGCTCGTCGTCTGGCCTATTGGTACCTTCCCAACCAGGCGAGAGTCGAACTGGTTCTGCACCTTTAAAAAATTTCAAAACGTCTATTCGCAATATTCGCATTTCGCACTGAGAATGAACTTGGAGGGGATAAAACGATATAATACCAGCGGTGTCGATTAAGCGAAAGATGAGGGGGACCCCAGTGGCACCAAATCCACGTAGTTTGTAGATAAACTTGAAATATCGAAAAAAAAGTAGGCATTTTATGATGGCACATGAAGCGTAAAACATGTAGTAAATTTAATTGGCATTATAGTCGTTAAAAGTTCGTTGCATCTGCTTAACCATCAGATGAATAGCAACAATGTAAGAGCAAAGCGCCAATCAGGCGCACCGTTTGGATAGACACTTTCAACGGCTGTAATATATGAAAACGCCTAATTTATGATTTACATGGGATGAAAAGGCACTTGGTGTTAATTAAATTTTCTATAACTTTTGCGCTTCGTGTCTTACCACAAAATGCTTAACTTTTAATATATATTGATACTACTGGCATCCCTCCACGTTTCCAACTGTTGCCACGGGCTGGGGTGTCACACGTGTGATTATATTAGACCCAACAGCTGAGGCCCGAGGTATCTCAATTTTGGTGAGTATTGCGGCTGGTTTTAATTTTCGACCACCCTCGGGCCTCACCTCTTGGTCCATATGGACGGGTACGAAATGATGACGAAGAAATAAATGTATTCGTATATAGGTATGGAGAACCGGTCGCTGGGTTATTCTAATACATGTATAATGGCTAAGGATTTGTGATTGGATATGAATTTATGGGCTAATCGTGTTTTGTGGATGGAGAAACTTTTCTTGAAGATAACATTAGTTTGTAGCCTTTTCTACGTGGAAGTAGGTAGGCGAGTCTCCCCTGAGTATATTTAAATATTGAAGTAGTGTGTTTTCAGACTCGGAATATTTTTTTGCTCGCTTTCGAAAAGTTTTTTTTTTTTCTCTTTCATTTTCGAGGGATGGCCACTTTTGTAAATTGTACATAGGTTTCCAAATACTTTGAATCAACATTTATGCATTTTTTTTCTTTGTCACCATTCATAACATTAAAATTTCCTTTCACGCATTACAAAACACTCGGACGCTTTGAATATGTGAGGACTCTTTTTTTCTCTCTCTCATAATACAAATGCACTATTTTTGCTGTAAAATTTTTTCACACACCAAGTACTGTTAAAAATGTCTCCAGTGCAATACGTTTTATATTTCTGTACAAAAAATTGTATACTAAGCAAAGTATTTGGAGAAAAAGAAGAAGAAAAAAAAAAAACTATTTATTCTTGGCTTTGGCTGAAATTTGAACGCTCCCTGATTCTGACATCGGAAATCAATATAACGTACTTGAGCGCCAGAAACGTGAAAAACCGTACTCTGCCCACGCCAGCGACGCAAAATGCATGGATCTATTTTTTACTCGTCGCACTCTCTCAAATTCTACTTTGATCCGAGCCCAAGGGAAAATTGCCCCCCCCCCTACCCGGAAGCGTGGGTGCGTTTTCTTCTATTTTTTGTTGTTGGTCTTTTCGTCACGCTCCGTAGTTCTTTTGACTTGTGAATAATATAACACGAGTGTACGGTAACGTTCGACGTAATTCTTTTGCAGGAGCTGAGCTATACCATAAATATATATATATACACCACGAGGAAGAGAATAAGCATATAGGTATACGTGTGTCCGGTTACAGTTAAGCTCTTGCGTTACGTATATAAATGTTTAGAGCTTTGTACTTTCTACCACATGCTATTGAGTCGCGTTTAACATTTATGATTTTTAAAGGTATGTTATACATCCGGTATTTAAGGGGAAGGATTAACTTGTTTTAAATGCCGGTTTCGAGAAAAATGACAATGCTTGTACACAGGCGATGAGATGTAGAGTCTTTTTTGGATGATTCATTTATTAACAAGAACCAATGCAATTGTCACGCCTTTATCTCCCGTGTATTTTTTATATAGTTTGAAAGGGCTCAACGACGAAAAGTTTTTATTTGTGTATTGTGCAACGATATTCCAACCATTACGATTTCAACTTGTTTTCAACGCCAGAGTGTGTGTATGTATATATACGCGCGTGTAATCATCGGCAGACGCGATGATAAAAGGATACGCGCGTCTATTTGCGGGCAATGAGTGTTGTTTACTTGTTGTGAGGTTGTCCGTTTGCGAGCATAAATCGGGGAACGATTAACAATCATTATCATTGCTAAATCACGTCGTATAACGAGTGATGTGATTTTTTAGCGACTAACGGTACAAGAATTTTTTCTTTAGCTAAGGTTAATTAAAAGTCGGTTAGTTTCAGGAAAATAACACATTTGAACAAATAATTATGGTGATACGGCAACGTAATTCGATCGATACGATCAAGCAGTAAAATTAAAAAAAAATTGTACATGTATTGAGTTTGATATTTGATAAAATAACTGTACTATATCATTTAACGTATGGTGATTTTTCCTTCTTTTTTTTTTAATTGATGTCAAACAGCTAACTAAAAGAGCAGCAGTGACTGATATTAATAATAAAAATACGTACTGATGAGCGGTAATAGCATTACTTTTATTATGAATATAGTTTCTTTTAGAAAATCCAACTGTCGAGGGATGACGATTTAAAAATTATTTAGATTTATTTGATAAAATTGTTCCTTCGGTTCCTTCATTATGATATTGATCAATAAGATTTTACAAGTGCAAAAATCAATACACGTGCTTAGCAGTAAGTTTGATTTTTTTTTTTTTTTTTTTTTCTACCAAACAGTTATGAGATTTAAGTAAAAGTAATGTTATGAATCTCTACACGATACGTCATTTTTATCAAAGAAGAATCATCTCGCGGATACACGATAACAAAGTAAATATTTATTGTATATTATTCAATAATACACAAAGATAAATCATTTGTGAATAATACATGGACAAACGGACAGGTCGCAACGCAGCAAGCATTTGTGACACTACCTATGTACTTACGATTGAGGCTAAGAAAATTGCACGCAGAGAACAGTATAGTGGCGGTGCTGCGTTGCCACATTTTTTTTTCGCGCAATTAGATTGACATTTTGTAATTTTCAATTCTTTTTTAAGGTATACATAAAGTAGCGTTTCTTATAAAATTTAACTTATCCCAATCAAGGATTTTCTTTATTTTTTACACATGTATACCAACAGTTGCGAAAAAAAGTCTTTTTCTACTTAAGTATTTTTTTAGTGTTTAAATATATACCGAATTGCATATTGAAAAGTTACATATTTACATATTCAAGTTTTCATGTGTATTACGTTTTATCAAACTTCGAAGTATTTTCGAAGCTTATCCGTATTATTATCAGTGAGTAATGTGGGGAGAAAAAAAAGATAGTGAGTACGTGATTACTTTTCTCACGTTTTTTTTTTTTTTTTTTTTTTTTTTTTGTTTTCAAGCGTCAGACCAAGAAAACATTAAAAAACTGAAAGAGTAGTCGGTTTATCTTGGAAAATACTGTATCTCCTTCTTCGAAGCACGACATCGCCGGTAGGAATTCAATTGATAATAATTCGTCTCTTCTTCTTCTTCTACCACATAGACACACTTTCCTAATGAAGCTAAACTGTCGAATGGTGTGTATAATTATTATTATTGTTACCACTAAGCCATTCACGGTGGGACAGTACGAGAAGTTGTTTGATATTCTCACGATGATTTATAATTTGAATCCATAGAGACTCAATGAGGGTATGTGTATGGTCTTTTTCTTTATACTTATCACGAGTGACGTGATTTTTTAGGAGCCCTCGAGACCGGTTCGGAGAATATTTTTTTTCGTCCAGACTTTTTATCTCGCTTTTTATCACGTGTTACTACTCCCTAGACGTGTTTCACTCCAAAGGAATTTGATGGATGAAACTGAGGGTGCTGTGATGTTAGTTCTTTAAATGATACCGAGAAAAAAAAAAAAAAAAAAAAACCAAAGTTTTATTTTAACAGTTTTAAAAATGTTTGTTTATTACAAACGAAGATAAATGCGAGGGTATATTTTTAGCACAAAGACAATTGCGTGTGTATTTTTTGTGTAAACAACTACCAACGCCCAAACGGATAAAACCTTGTAGCAATTAATTTTGTTATAAATAAAATGACGTTCAAACTAGTAACGGATAAATGAATTCTTTTTTTTTTTTTTTTTATTAGATATGATGATAAAATCGTGAATTACCGTATCTTTCCGGACTATTAAAAGTGTAATAGCTCGTTTTCGTTTGTGGCTCTGAAAAATACAATTATAGATATTTAATTTTTGTTTTCCATTTCAAAAAGAAATAAACCATCGTCAAGCGCTGAAACCCATTGGCTCTGAAATATAGAGCTTTCACCAAGTTTAACTCGAAATGTTATGTTGTACATTTGAAATGTTAGTCAACTGTTTATGTTAACCAAAAGTGTACAGGAATTCTAAAACTGCAGTGTGCAATTGCAGTGTACAGATGTCAATCTGCCCCCGCAAACAGTGTAAATTTTTTTCCATCTACAGCAAATTACTCATCATTTTGGTTACCCGTGTCTTAGAGGCCTCAATGTTCAAGAATGAGCGTGGAAACCGTCGGTCTCAAGAAAATGTCTTCATAAAAGGACGGAGTAAATTTAAAATAGTCTTAATTTTTTTTCTCTCGTTTCATAAAAGCTTTTGTTATTCACTGTTATTGTCGTCAATGTTCTGAAATAAAATTAAACTTTTTTTTTTTTTTTTTCAAAATTAAAATCATCCTTTAATACCAAATGCGCTTATGATAATTCCAACAAATACATGATTAAACTAATTAAAACTCGATAATCATTAAAAATACATTTGTTCTAACAATGTCCATGAAATTTCGTACTTCCAGATAATGAATCAGATTAGTAGAATTTTACATTCATTGTATTTTCAGTTGAAATTTCCCCCATTATTAGTTCTTGCGGAATAGACAAACGTTTTAATTATCGCTTTATTTCCTGTATATTCGATTTTTTCCAAAGTGTAACTTCTGAAGAAACAGAATTTCGAAATTGTACAGTCCCCGATTGTCAAAAAAAATTTAACTTCACGTTTTGAAGTGACTTATGAAAATATTTAAATATTTCAAATGTTACAATCGTTAAATGGTTAAATAAACCTTAATTGTGAAGCTGCAAAATAATAAGAAACAATCACAGTCGTGTTCATAAATTATGTGCAATAGACACCAAAGATATTAGAGTTCATTGAACTTGTTTGATTGAAGCAGTGAATAATAAGAATTACAAGTGATATAGAAAACAGCACTTTGATTGCTAGCAACTCTTATTGAGTTGTACATTTTTCAAGCATCAATGACTTGATGAAGAAAATTGAGTAGTGTAAAGCAGATATGAACAGTACAGTGGGCAATACTCACATAGAGATCCATAAAAGTAATTGAGATGAAAAACAGTACTTACAAATTAAAAAAAAATTAATCAATAGCTTCTTAAAAATAACACATCTATAATACATTTTTGTATGTTTCGGCAATTACATTACTTTGCTACAAATCGGTCACTAATAACGTTTTAATCTCTTGTTTATACGAATTTTTTGTCTCAATGACTACACTACGTAAGAAAATTTTATACCAAACGTTATCAGTATAATTATGTAACAGATTAGATATTTCAAGATAGATCCAAGATTGTAATAGTGTGCATGCCTTGACTTACATTAGACATTTGAATTTTACGACTCATAAATTTAGTATAATTTTTAGATCTTCTGCACTACAACTGCACTGATTAAAATGTCCACACTTTAAATATTTAGTTTCAACTCGAATGGAGCACAGTTGCCTTGGCTCAAATGACTAAAAATTGTATTCCGATGAAATATAAAAATAAAATGCTCTCTCTGTCTCTTACTCTTCGAGTTTATCTAAATTACTCAACACAGAAGACATAAATCTCGCTCGAAATTACCAACAGACCTCTATTCGTCTGGACTCGGTCTGGGATGCTGCTCCAAAATTATCAAACAAATCAATCCAAACAAAAAAAGAAAAAAAAATGATTGAAATAAAGTAACAGACAAAAAATGCACACAATCAAGTCTCTCTTCCTCGGAGGACGATGACGAACCACGTCAGTGAGTATATAAGTACGGGCAGGAGGCCAGAAAAGGGCAAGGCGGGAGAAAAGGAAAAACAAAGGTTCTCCTCAGGAATCCGCTACTTTCCTCTCGTTTCTTTCTTTTTCTCTCAACGGGATTATATATATATATATATATATATATACATGCAACGTGTGAGTGTGTGTGTATTTAAGCTTGTTACAGCAGAAGCAGTCCACTTGAAAAGAAGCTGCTGCACACGAGGGGAACAAGAAAAAGAGGTGTCCGGCAGGATGGAGAGAAAGAGAGCGCGGAAAAGAGGGAAACTTGCTCTGATGATACATGTATAATATGGCTAAGAACCATTTAAAGAAAAGAGCCCATAGTCCCATACATCAGCAGGAAGCAGGTATAGATATAGGTACTTATAAGGTATGTAGTCATGCAAACTAAACTCACCCTTGGTGTTTACTATGCGTGTGCCATTGGAGTCCTTGAGGAGAGTCTGCTCCTCGGGGCCGACGCCAAACTCCTTTTTCGTATAGCTACCCGCCATTTCGTCCTCCTCTCCAGCCGCAGATTTCTGTTTTGGTCTTATTTTTGCAAAGGATGCCGCTGAGCGGAAGACCACGCGGTCACCGCTCTCTCGATAGGTATATATACGACTTGTATGTTTTTATTCTGCTGAAATCTCCAGACTTCCGTTTCTCTCCCTCACATATAAAAAACTAGCACTAGAACCAGCAGATGACGTCGATGTGGAGATGACCCGTCCGACAGGAGATACCTTTATTTCTTTTTTCTCCCTGTAATTTTGCACACGAGGTCGGGAGAGCAGTGGAGGGCGAATGAATGCCCGTGTGGCTGTAAAAGAGCGGAAGGAAAACAATAAGAATGAAAAGCGACACGCGAGTAGCCGAGTACCCACTTTTTATTTTTGCCACTGCATTTTACGTGTACAGTAGTTTGTAATTAATTGATCTTATTTCTGACCCACGAACGAGCAGCTAACGCGGGTAAACTGCACTCTCGAACGGCGACTTTGGCGCAACTAATTTGTGATTTCACTTTACTATACCCACCTATATAGGTATACGGTCGCCGATATAGCGTTCATGCACTATTCAGTTAATCTTTACCTTTACACACAAATATACTTACGTACTGACTTCACTTCACGATACTTTGATTTTGCTCCGAAAAATCTTTTCTGGCTGTATACGTGTATGCACACTATATTGTAACGGTACCACTGACACCGAATTTTCGTTTGAAAAGAGTATTTTTTCCTCTAAGTTTGCACCTTATAAGTAATATAAATGATGCAGATTGCATCGCAAAGAGTGCAAAGTTGCAAACAATAAATAACGATGGATATACTTATCTATATATATACTCTCTAATGTAAAAATGTAAATATATTTATACGCAAATGTATTCGCAAATCGTGTGGTGTCCTTCTACCCCGCCCCCCTGACCTGTGCACCTTATCTCATCTGGTAGATGAAGATACATTGAAGCATCTTTTGAAGCCACGCCGTGCGGCGCCGCTTCACTAACCATCTTATCTAGTTCAGATTATCCATATTTTATACACTAGTCGAATTATCTTGGCACGGCTAGCGCGCGGTATTTCAATTTTTTAAAACGTTGGTCAACAAACGAATAAATTTTAACTTACATAATATTGAAATTTGAATTACCTAATACTCCATGTTTACGAATAATAATGTGATACTATAACTAATACTAATATTTTTTCAAGTTTATACAACAAAACTACAATTTTCATTCAGACCAAGAGCTACATGAATTTAATTTAATAATTATCACGCGATTACGTGATTACAGCTTTAATCAATGACAAGAGAGACTAGATCGACTTTTTTCGAAGTATAAATTGCCTTTGAGGAAATCGATGCGAATCAGGAGTAAGTAAATTTCAAAAATATATATTTAAAAAATTTACAATAATTTTTACATATCTTTCTAATTCTCGATAGTAAAATAGTAAAATTATCACAGACGTAAGCCCCATTATAGCCTCATTACCAAGTTTCCGATTGATATCTTTCACTTTTCTCCATTGTCCTTATGTAGTCTTCAGCTTGTACTTCATTTAATTTACCACAAGTTTTGACTACGTTTACAAACTCCTCTCTCACTGCACTTGGCATGTTTTTACAGCTACCAGCTAAGTAAATTTTACCATCGTTTTTTATAAATTCCCAACAGAGTTCACTTTGCTGTCGAATCATGTGTTGTACGTATCTGTGAAAACAAAAACCGTAAAAGTGTTAGGGATGAAAGTTACTTATACCTTTTTACTGACTGAATGAGTGAATAAAAGTAAAAAGTTTCGTTAAAACTGACTTACATTTTATCAGGTTGATCTCTGGAGAAGGCACAGAAAACTCTTAGCTTATACTTGTCAATTAGCATACGAAAATCTTCTTCGCAATGATAATCTTTTTCCTTATTTCTACACCCAAAGAAAACTATACATGAACTCAAATCTCCATCCAGTACAGCCTTCTCCAGCAGCAGTGATCTAAATGGAGCTATTCCAGTTCCTGGTCCTACAAGAATCATTGGCTTTTTGTAATCAAATTTGAAGGTTCCCTTTTGAATCCAAAACACAGTTTTATCTTCTGGTTGCAGGGATGCCAACCAGTTTGAGCAGATCCCGAGCCTGGGTTCAATTAGCTTTGTTTTGTATTGAACAACGGCGACTAATAAATGAACTTCATCTTTGGTAAATTTTGAACTTGATGCGATACTGAAAGCACGAGGCTTTATGGGAGTAAAAATTTCAAAAAGTAACTTAATGTTCAATTTACTTGTCGTGTAAGGGAAATCGTTTAAAACTTCGACGATGTTTCTTCTCGGTCTGTTTATGTAATTAAAAAGTTCTTCCTGACCAGTTGCAGTTGTGAATTCAATTAATTTTTCTTTTTCAAGCTCGTTTTCGCTAATTGATGCCAATGTTTGCATAGTCGATCTCTTTGGCTTGAAACTTAGATCCCAGTACTGCTGCGCTATTTGTCTTAACGTTAATTTTTGTTGTAAAACTATAGGCAGTTTTATTTCTTTTTCCGACACTTGTATCACAACGTCAGGATCAATATTTACACCATTGCTTTTTAAAATATTAAAAAATGCATCAACTTGTTTATCAGAATTTTTAGCTTTTACATACACAATGTCACCAGGTGAATAATGCACTTCTGGAACTTTAAATTTAATCAGTCTTACATCCTGGAAGTGATCGGTAGTGGTGGTTCTAATGTTTTCTGTTACCAAAGTAACAATTAATTTTTTGTTTTTTTGCGCTTCAAACAAATAAATGTCCCTTTTTAAGTCGTCTAATATTTTTTCATCCCCAAGTTCAGTAACATTGAATCTCTCAATAATTTCATGCTCAGCAAGAATACTGTTATTTGATAAACCATACTGCAAACACAGGCTGTCAAATACATTGTGGAGCCAAGGCCCAAAAACGGCATCAATTCCCAAATCATGCTGATCATCAGCTAGACCAATAGGAAAAAGTTCAGTAGCACCAAGCTGTATTAATCTCTTATTTAATTTCTTGGCAGCAAAATTAAATTTTTCAAACGAACTGTCGCCTAATCCCAACACCGAAAATGTCATTTTACCAAGTAAGTTAGGTGGTAGACTTTTACGTAAGAGGAACTTCCAAAAGTTTTTCATATTGACAGGGGTATCGCCTTGGCCAGCAGTTGAAACTACAAAAATCATTACTCTCTCATTTACTAATTCTTCAATGTTGTAGTCGTCCATTGCATCAACAGTACTTTTTAAACCATATCTACAAGGAATGATACGATATTTTTAATTTCACCACTTAAAATTCATGAAAATGTAAAACTTATTAAATAGAAAACAACGAAAAATTGAAAAGAATGATGGTAATCTAATATATACATCATATACTTTTTGGCTGTGTATTCAATAAAAGTATGTCTAGCGCTTATCAATGTACCCATATGTGTTAATAACATAGATTAGTGAAATAAAAAGTAAAACCTTTTAGAGCGCTTCCAAATCTGTTCTGCAATGTCGTGAGCAGTTCCTGTCTCACTGCCATAGAGGATGGTGATGTTTGGTCCAATCATCATTACAAAGTTTAATTTTTGGCCCTTAATTTAATTTTTTACATCCGAGGTACAATAAACTTGAGTGTGATGTAACGTGTGGTAGATGAGGAACGTAATCTATATGCCTGCAAGATAAAGACAAATCAAAGATTTATCTATTTGTTGAAATTGAAATTCATTATTCAGTTATCACTTGAGATGATGATGGCAAGTCAGGAAGGTTGGAATCACATAAATTACGAAACCTCAATTAAAAAAAGAGTGACTTGGCTAAGCGGGGAAAAAAATTAACATTACATCAAAATATAAAGTTCACTTTTCTTACATCATTTGAAAAAAAAAAAAATAACTACGTACAATCAATCTAAACACGATATATAGTTCTTATAGTTCTACTGTCCTACTTATACTTGTACTACTGCCTAGTAGAACTATATAAAATATAGTTCTCTCTGTTGCTAAATGTCAAGGTTAAATCACACAGCCAGGGTCCGTTTGGCTTTTGGCCCGTGATTATTTATAAAAGAAAAAGAGAGAGTACAGTAGAGGAACGTGTAAATTGTAAATATGGTAATAGTTATTCTTTGGGTTGATTATTCATTCGCTTAAGTTATTATTATTATATTACCTGCACATTTTAATTTCAACTGGTTATTTTTCTTTTTCGTTAAATGACACTTTAAAATAAAAATTTTTTTTTAATACTTATTACAGTTAAGGTAATTTTGCATGATGATTAAAATAAAAGTTCGGAATATTCACGATGAAGTACGTACACAAAGTTTCCAATCAAAAACTTGGAAAATAAAGTTATAAGTTAGGATAAGAAAATATCTTGGAAACGATACCTTCAACTATAGTTCGGTATACCAATAACATAACCCTTTTATAAAAGCTGCGCAGCAAAAAAGGAATGTATGAGTCCAGCTCATTTGATCGAAATCTGTAAGTATTGTTTATTAAGTATATCAATTGTGAAAAATATACAGCTGGTTCGAAACGAACTTCGAACTTTCAAATAGGTTAAGCTCATAGCAGACGACACGCGAGTGTAATCCGCAATCGCCTGCACCTGGCACCTGCAGCGCAGTTATATGCACATATGTGCATCATGCACATGCACAACTGCAGTTATACTTAACATAAATGTGAGACGTGACAACGTTGCTTAATTAGGGGACGCTATATCTATATAGACTGTCGATTTACTGTTGATGTGATCTGCAATCCCGCCAGCAGTAAAGCAGACTATATTTTCGAGTAGCTTAATTTTGAGGAGGATATATATATATATATATATATGTTTTGATTGTCTGCGGTGTTTGTTTACATTGTATATATATATAGCACAATGACAAAATAGGACGAAGTTCCGCGTCGGCTGCTTTTTTACTGCTGGCGGGATTGCGGATTTGCGGATCACATCACCAGTAAACCGACAGTAGCGCCCCTCCAGTCAATCAACGTTGTCACTTCTCACATATTGTGTACACTGGGGCTGGAGGTATAGTTTAATTCGTTGAGCGGAAAGTATAAAATTTACCAATGAAAGAGGTTATGTGATGGTATCAGCCAATGGGAATTGAATATTTGAATTTCCTGCTCAACGAATTAAACTGCCTCCAGTGTCTGCTGGTGGCGATTGCGGATTACACCCAATTTATATACCCCCCCCCCTAAATCGCGACATATATATATGCTCCCTTTTTTCTCTTAAATCATTTGCAATGGTAACTTGTTAACAGTTTATAAAAAAATATAATCACATCACTGATTTCGATGAGATAAGGACCTATAGAATTCCTTTTCCAACAATTGACGATTTATGGTAGTATTTATTATAAAGTAGTTGTAGTTTTGAGATATTTTAAGTTTGATTTTTCAGTATGTATAAATTTCCAAATTTTTTTGCCGAAATGTCAATGTACCTAGACTAAGTACCTACTTGTCAAATTAGTTTGTATTGCGCCCTTGCATGCAAGAAGATATAGTATGATACAGAGAAAGAGAGTTGCAGAAATCAAACGCGCGCGTGAATAACTGAATACTTTTAATTAACATAAATTAATAAAAAAAGAGAAATAAAGTAACTGCATATATGCGCAGCCTTTGTTGCTCAGTCACCTCTTCTCTGAACTTTTCTCCAATCTCCATGCACCTTTTAGTGCACGGTCTTCAGAGTGTCCGCACCAACCACCAACCACCCACCAGAGACTAAATACTGGGCATACCCAGTAGCGTATCAAGCTCGAGTTCATAGGTAAGATAGAGAGTGTTTCACATCAGAGAAGCTGTGCTGTGTTCAAGTGCCTCAGGTCAGGTCTCACACATTTTACTGAGATGATCTCACGATCTCAGTCGTCGTCGTCGTCGTGTTTGCTCTTATTGCTTCATGCAAGTTCAGTCAGTTAATGGTTGTTGAGTGGTGAACTGGTGAGCGAGTTGGAGTAGACTGCGGGGCGATCCGGGTGTTGTAGCAGCAGCTGACGGCTGACAGTACGTCGTCGCCGCCGCCGCGCCATCACCAGGACCGCGGAGGATCATGCACGAGGAAGTTTGATAAGGCTGTTTTGATTTTGAACCGAGACAGAGTGTTGTGTGTGTGGTGCGTGAACGCTTGGGATTGCACTCTCTCTCTCTCTCTCTAGCTGTTAAAGTCCGGAGAGTTCCTGATCGCGCTCTTCATCAATTAGCTAGTGTAAATACATAACGCGCGTACATATGTATATGTATGTGAACAGTTAGCAGCAGAGGAGAGCAAGCGCGCAATGCTTGCAGCCGTTGTCATTCCCTGGAGAAAAAAAGACAGGACAGCGATGAGGGAGAAGACCAGCAGCTTGGTCAGCTTGTAGTTCGTACAGTGTATTTACTTTACTTGTGAGAGAAAGAGAGAGAAAAAAAAACGTAACGGAGCCAAACGAGGATAAACAGGTATAGAGAGCTGTTGGCTTGTGCGCGGATGAGAAGAGACAGCCAAGACGACCACGACCACGACGACGACGACGACGACGACGACGGCAACGACGAAGACGAGGTAATTTTAATACTTCTCTATCTCGTTCTTTAATTTTTTGCTTACTCTACGTGTATTGTATGATGGCATGTTTATGATTGTTGTCTATATGTTCTTAGGACACTGTTATAGACTTGTGAGAGTGTATGTTTGTATACACATATACATTATATGTTATAGCGTAGAGAAAGAGAGTTTGCTACTATATGCTGGCTTTCGATGATACCTAATGAGAGGAGAAGAAAGTGCGACCTGGAGCTGTAACTCCAAAGGGGAAGGAGAGAAATTTCTTCTTTCTTTCTTTTTGTATTCATGATTCATGCAGGTATAAAAGTGATGTACGTGCAGATATAGAGACAGACGTGGTGCCAGGCCAGCAGTCACCCTTTTTTTTTATTTTTATCATCGAGGCACCCCTATCAAGTCCCTTTATTCTTCTACGTTACCCTATTAGGTAAAGGGTCCCCTTTCCTTTCTTTAGACCATCATGTCATATGTCACGTTTCTCCCCTCCCTCTTCTATTGTATTATTTTCTTTTTTTCAACGTGCACTCTATACGTATACCTACGCTGATTCTAGTTTTGGCTTTCTTGCTCGGTTGGCAGGCACTATGTGTGCTCCTGCGATCTTGGTGTTCCTCTATCTCTATCACTTGTACGTATGAAATTCGTGATTCGTGATACGAGTAAATGGAGCAAGAGTATATGAGCGACGATGAGAAGACGAGAACACGCACGCACCAATACAGTGTCCCATGTTAGTACACCAGCAAACCAAGTACCAACACTATAACCAGTTACCAACAGTCCAGTATTTCATACCAGCAGTATCATTGTAGCATTACATTTATCTGTATGCTTGCAGGAGAGAGTTTGTGTACGTGTGTACAGTGCTAATATTTTCTCTGTATATGTGCAACTGTAGATGATGTTTGGTGTTTGCTGAGTGATTTACAAGTATCCAAGAGCTATATTTTATCATGGGATAAGTTTATAGTTTGTTGGACAATACTCAGACTTTTTGGACTAATTGTTACTTGCATGTTCAACTTTAACTGTTTCTTAGATAGTTTTTATATGTATGTTTTTGGTCATTGGTAAATAAGTGTGAAGTTTGTATTTACATACATCTTTTTCCCATATCAATTAGCTATCCATCTAATTTAAGAATGCTGTGTGTTGAAATATTGTTTATAAATGCCAAACTTTAGTTTTGACATTTATGCAAAATTACAATGTCAAGTCCCCTTTTTAAATGCTATATTCTATTTAAATCAATTTAACTAAAATACATTTACAAGTTAATAGGATTTACCGTTGTGTATGTACCAATTGCATCCAAATTAGTTTTCTTATGTTCTGGTTCTAAAAGTAGGACAATGGTTTTAATGTTGATGTGAAAAAAATTTTTTCTAAACATTTTGTATTCTTTATCGTTGTAATGCATACAATAATTCTTAATCTTACGAAGTTTATTTTTGGCGATTTCTTAATAACAACTTAAACTTTGTCAGCAGCATTAGACTTATTAATGACAGTTACCATTATCATATAGATTAATGTAAGTATAATGGCAAACAGAGATTGACTTTAAACAAATTAGTAATAGAATCGTTGTTTAATATAGCAAGTAGATTCATGAAAAAGGAAATAAAAAAAAGGAAACAGTTTACCACTTTGTTTTGTGTACAAATAAGATCACAAAGTGCAAAAACAGTTTGCTTGGATAACCACTTTTTAACTGTATTTATATATTCGGATCTTTTCATATCAAGTAACACAATCTAATTCAAATTCTCAGTAATACTGCCATAAACTGTTCTTCAATTAATCTACATAAATATTCCATCTGTAAATATAAATATCAGAACGTAATGCGTTGTTAAATGCGTGAATAGTTAAATGAAAAGAGGTCTTACTTAAAGTATAAAATTGTATGTGTAACAAATAAATAACCTACACACATTACAACGGAAAGGTTAGAGCGTTGTACCTAATTTTCCGTGATATTTTCGTTTACATTATTCACAATAATCTAATTATTTACAGGAAAAACACAATTGAAAATATTTTACATAATCTACTAACTCACGTAAATTCAAATTTATTCATACGAAATGCTCGATGATGTTCTGTAAAAACAATAAAGCGGGCGATCTGTTATTTTTAAATTGACTAATTTTAATTATTGATTATCGGTATTATTGTTTTTATGTTGCAGGTTAAATAGACGCTGGTACACATATAGACACGAAAAAGAAAAAAAGTCAACATCATCACGTACTATGATCTCTGCACAGAAAAATGTCTCATGATGTATGCTCTCCATTATATAACAAACCTAAGATACAAGCACTCCTATTAGAAAAACTTTTGCCAAAGTTTTCATGGTACAGATAATGTGAGGGTTTTTTTTTTTTTAAATCGAAGGAAAACCATAAGTTTTAATATATTCTGGCATCCGTGACAGCCGTCATCTATGATCTGAGAGTTGTTTTGAAGCCCAGGAAACAACTTGAAGGTACGGTATTAGAATCACATTTTCTGTTGCATGATGTTTCGTAATATCATGGAATCATACGTAGTAAAACAAATTTTCAGGCTGTAGTGATCGCGAATGAAAAAGAGCGTCATTCAGAGAAAATGAATAGTCGCCCCTGTGAGCCAGAGTCGAAGTGGAACTGCGAATACTGCACTTATGAGAACTGGCCATCGTCACTAAAATGTACAATGTGCAGAGGTGCCAAACCGCTCCTAGGGGAAGATATTTATCGGCTACGAGATCCGAGTCCGCAGAGATCTGCGTCCAACGTAGCTTCGGGTCCTGTACCACCAGCTAGTGATTCATATAACTTAGGTAAACAATATTCCAACGCAATATATTTATATGTATCACGCAAAATGACATCCTTTTTGTTTCCAGGTTCGCAAAATTACAGTCAAAATGTACCGTCAGACGGAAAATGGTACTGCGAAGCGTGCACCTATCTAAACTATCAGAACGCGACGCGCTGTACTCAGTGCGCCAGTCGGCGATCTCCAAATACAACAACAGCCACAACGCCCCAACACAATCAGTCGATCATAGCCTCGAATCTTCACGAGCAGCTTGCACCCTTGAGACTCGGTGACCCACCGCCGACGCCTTTGAACGCGCAACCTCAGGTACAGGCAGAAAATCTTTATCCTTTACGTGACAAAACAACATTAGTACAAATGTCGCCAACTGATTTCTTAATGTCCCTTTGACAGGCAAATATGAATCAACTGCCGGATAAGTGGTCATGTGCTACCTGTACTTACGAAAACTGGCCCAAGTCGGTAAAGTGCGTGATGTGCGGCCATCAAAGGGAAAGGGAACGAGCACGCGAGAGGACGAACATGGTGAATTCGAGTCTCATATGCCCGAGTCCCGAGCGGGATCTCCATCGCAATCATCCCCAGCGGGGTTTACCCTCGCCGCCTCACACACCTTACATTCACCAAGCACAGCGCGACGAGAACATGGCGATAGCTAGGCGGTGAGTGACGAAATATTATATTTACGGTAAACTACAGGTTTAATATGAATGACGTGTGTTGAAATGTCGAACTTTCAGGAGTACTCAAAGGTACGATAGCAGAAACGACAGTCTTCCTACACCGCAGTCTCCTAATAATTGCGATTACGAGCGCAGGCTAAAGCAGTTAAAACGCCAGACGGACTGGTGCTGGCTGAATGCCTGCCTTGGCATTGTCGAGGGCGACAATGCACCCGTCGAGGCTTATCTGGCTAGTGGTGGCGACCCGACCCGTCAGTTAACGCATTCCGAGGTTTCAGTACTGAATAGAAACAGTGCTTTTGACATAGGACACACCCTAGTTCACTTAGCCATTAGGTGAGCATTTATTTCCTCCTCCTACTCCCTACATGGTTTTATAAATACCTTTTATTTTTTATTCCACTCGTATTCGTGAATCATCCACTCTCTTACCGAAAATGTTTACAAACAATCACTTTTTGGGCTTTATTTTTCAGCACCCGGTTTTCTTTCGACGCCCACACTCGTATGCGAAAATAATTGCCGTTTACTCAGCAATTGTGTCGTAATCGTGTCTTTGGCGCGTTATCTATTCGAATAAAACCAAAATCGTACAATGAAAGCTACCTTTCTCATTTGAATGCCAATCCGGATATTTATACTTTTTTCAAGGTTCCTCTCTCTCTCGAGCTGCTGCGATAATTCCTTTGGAGCACTTCCAAAAATGCACGCTCAACTGGCCCTCTTTTATTCGTCTCCTCTCTCTCTCTCTCTCTTTCCCTCTTTCTTGTACACGTGCGTGCTCCGGATTTTTCCCGAAATCGAGGCATTGACCTAGAAAGTCCTGCGTAAACACTGCGCCAGGGAGAGAGCTTGATGGCTGTTTACTTTCTTACCCTCTCCGAAATACTTAGTGAGATAAAATCCATCCCTCGACACGAATCTCACCCTAAATGATTGATCATAAGAATGACTAAAAAAATGTACGACGCGACTGTTTTGATCTGCTCGGAAGGTTTCAAAGGGAAGATATACTGGCAACGTTGTTGGCTCAAATCGAGGGTTCTGGCTCGGGCATCAAGAGAGTACCCAGCTACGTAGCTCCCGATCTGGCCGCTCAGATTCGCCGGCACGTCAGCAATAGCATCCGCATGCGAAAAGGTTCGTTTCCCTGCTATTTCGTCACCGAGTTTGCGACCTTCACTCTACCAGCTGAGGTAATTCATAGCTTGTAAAAAAAAAAAAAAAAAAAAAAAAAAATCCACATTGATAATCTATGCGCGCATAGACTGTAAAAGCAAAATTTACGATGCGCACTGCTATTTCTGTGGTTAAAATTCTATTTATAAATTATCATTCAAGGTCGAAGATCTGCCGAGTATAGTACAGGAGCAAATGTTAGAGGAACTGCTGGATCGTGAGGCACAGCAGCAACTGGAGGGTGGATGCGGCGAACCACCTGCCTTGAACTGGTCCCTGGAAATTACGGATCGCGTGGGTAGTCGATTACATGCTCTGTGGAACCGTTCGGCCGGTGACTGTCTCCTTGATTCCGTCATGCAGGCAACGTGGGGCGTCTTTGACAGGGATAACACGTTAAGACGAGCGCTTGCCGATACCCTACAACAAGCGGGTCAATTGTAAGTTGTTTTTACTCTTGTTTTGAAAAAATTTTTCCGATGGAATGGTACGTTCCGACTTGCCACGGTTGTTTTGCAGTTTCTATCTTCGTTGGCGGGAGTACGAGGCATCACATGCTTCCAGAATGTTGGATTTTACTCTCGAGGAGACGCAGTGGCAAGAAGACTGGGAGAATCTACTAACGACAGCTGCTCAGCCCGGAAGTGCTCTAGAACAGTTACACGTGTTTGCCATGGCTCATATTTTGAGAAGACCAATCATAGTTTACGGAGTCAAATATGTCAAAAGTTTTCGTGGTGAAGACATCGGTAAGACAAAGGATTTTTATTTGAAAACATCAACACTAAAAACTTGATGGTACAAGAAAAAAAAATTATGTTTCAGGTTACGCCAGATTCGAGGGCGTGTACCTGCCGTTGTTGTGGGAACCATCCTTCTGTATCCGCTCGCCGATAGCACTGGGCTACACTCGTGGTCACTTCACAGCTCTTGTACCCATCGAGCCTTATGCTCCGTCGCGTCCAGCTATGCCCTCGCACCAGGGAGGGGGCAACAGTCCAATACAACAACTACAGATACAAACGACCTTTATGCCTCTTGTGGACCGCGAGCACAAGCTCCTGCCCATACACTTCCTCGGCCCCGAGGAAATGGGAAGAGAAGAAACGATACTGAAACAGTGGTTGGACGTGTGCACGACCGAGGGTGGTACACTTGTGGCTCAGCAAAAACTGCACAAGAGGCCGCTACTCGTTGCCCAGATGCTCGAGGAGTGGCTCAATCATTACAGAAGACTAGCGTGAGTACTGCATAAAACCAAGGTTATTATAATTTGGCTCTAAAGGTGGTCCGAAAATTTTTCAAATAAGCAAAGCTTCAAATAATCAAATGTTATTTAATCTCGTTCAATAGCGATTCTCTAAGCGAATCTTACAATTAAAGTTAATTTTCTACTATTTTCAACTGTACTAATTCCTCAATAGATTTTGCTTTTTTGAAGACTCGTGGCTACTACAAAATTTGCATGGGACTATGATTAATAAGTGAAATTATAGTGGTTGTATATTTATAGTAAAATTAAAACAGTAAATTCAACTTCAAAATAAATAATTGTTGCGAAAGAAGCGCTTTTAACTCGATAAAACGCTTTACAGTTTACTTTTAAATTACTCATTTCCCTGTGCAAACTCAGTATTGAATCATGAGAATAATCGTAAAATTTTCCTTTTGTGTTGCAGTCAAACGTACGAAGCACCATTTTCGAGGGCAGTTGCTCTGCAGGATTATAGTAGTGACGGCGATTCAGAGGATGAGTGATGCGGTAGTTCAAAACAAGGAAGAAAGAAAACCTAATGAATTAAAATTAACGAACCAACGTGGATGCATGTTCATTTGCTTGCGTTAGATGCGTTCTGATCACGAAAAAGTAAAATTAATAACAAATTATTGGAAATTTGGCTATGCTCTACAAAAAGTTGCTGAGGAAGAAATCAAGTTTCGAATTCGTTAGTTACGAGACTATGTACATTATTGATAAGAAAATTTTCGGAAGCCTGTCCAGTTATCTGCTTCATCGATACTCTGATTTCTTTCCAGCTCACTGAAGTAACGATCTCATCAAAAAACGAAATTGGGTAATGACGATACCTCGAGGGTATACGATGATTACGTGCGAGAAAAACCACGTTCATTTTTGTAAGTCAACGTGAACTGCAAATTTATTACAAGAGACTTACTATTTTTTACAGTTCCTCGTATTTTATGAGAAAATTGAAGTGATTTTTTTCGTCAGTAGTTTTTGTATACCATCCCAGTATCATCTCAGAAACATTGTACTGTAATATAAAAATCAGTTATGAAAGTAACATGAAAATTCTGATGAAATAGGTTTCTGGATATTATAGTGTGTATTAAATTGCGTACGTAGTGGTTTAAATTTCGAATCTCCGTTGATTCGTACTGTTAGTTGTGCATCAAATGATTTCAAATGATATTTATTAACTTTTTGACTCTGCAGGTCGAGCTGTGTCCGTATGAAGAAGAAGGAGAAAAAAAAACCATGAGTGATTGAGTGATTGCAAAAGTGGAATGTATAAAAGTTTATTATATTTTGCTTTGTGTAGTGTAGATAAAGAAAAAAAAGATATAGTTAAGAATACGAAAATAATTATGCGGTTGAGGTTGAATACGAAAAATAATTCCAATAGGGACATCGGTGCTGCTAAAAATAAATTAAATTGTAATCGCGAGATTTTCCCCATGATTGTTATTTTTATTATTTTTATCTTTGGATGCAGTAGGTGTTTATACCATTTTGTGATGAGCTTGAGTTGTGTATAATTTTTGTACACTGTCTTTTCACCAGATTGAACCTGTGACAAGGTCATGATTTTGTTGTTAACCAATATATAGCTAAATTTATCGTACATAGAAAGTAGAGGCTTGAAAGGATGTACTATGCATTTTTTTTTTTTTTCGTCCACCATAATGCAAACTTTTAGTTAAGAAGTATATTAATTATACGCACGTCAAGCAACATATGTTTATTTTCTAGTTAAATCGCGGTTTTAAATATTGTTACATTAAGGAAAAATATTATTGCGATGAAATCTTACTTGAGTTAAAAAGCTATTTATTTTAAATAATTTTTATGTACTTTTTAATTTTATTGCCTTTAAAAAATGAAATTTGAAAATTATATTTCTTACAAAATTGCAGTTTCTTCTTTGTCGACTCCACGTACACGAAATGTCGTTACTGTTTCTCAATACACATTGAACGTCTTGTTGTTGCGCGCTTCTTGTTAAAATTTAGCTTTAATAAAAATAAAGTACACAAACAAAAGCAAAAACTGAAAAGTCGCAAACAACGATGTCGTTTTTACGACCCAAAGCGAAATATACTCACAAAGAACTAAAAGAAAAGATGGTGAAAAGCTTATCAAAGAACTTTTGTCTAATACAGTCAGCACTGAAATAAAGCTTCAGAAAAATTTATTTAAAATAAATCGTGATAATAATAAAAGAAAAATGTGGCTAAAATGTCGTACGTATGTAAATTAGCTTAAAAAAATTTTGCGAAGAAAAAAGTTCATACTTGTGTAGCCAAAAAGAAAAGATACACTGGCAAAATGTAGAATGATTGTGTTTGCAGTGAAATAATCGCTTGGCCAAATGATTAAAACCCTAATCAAAAGAGTACAAAAACTTGTAGAATGCAGTCTTTTTATTTACGATATTTTTAGTTTTATTGTATATTGCTTACACATTTAGTCTTTGTTTTTACTTCAGCCGAGTCACGACACTTACTCAATATTTTGTAATTTAAAAAAAAATTTACTACTTATTTGTACTTTTTAATTAATTACAAATATTTTTTTATCTTACAAAAATTATAAAACTTTAATAAATTATGGGAGATTCGTTTTTTCCAGTAAAATAAACATACTCACGTGCAATCCAATAAATTTTATTAATATTATGAATAACTAATGAATATGAATATAAAAAATTTAAAAAAATTGTGAATGCGATTATATTCTGCTGTCGTGCCTCGACTGTGAACAAAAAATATCAACGTAGCCT